TATTTATTATAATCACCTAATTAGTTAATTAAGCTCACACCTTTAAACTATTGGGTGCTAACAATAATTAATAATTTAGTTTCTTATGACGTTAACACAACTTCCCATCAACTAGTGTTGAATTATGCATGTTTTAAAAATAATTACATTTAACAGTATTTAATAAATTGTTATACCCAAACAATTTTAAAGTTATTATACAGTTCATCATGGTTTACATTAATTATTCATGATTTTATCTGTTAACAATGTGATAAAACTAATAAATCACTTGCCAAATAGCGTTGCAATAATGACAACAAATTAATTAATTAATAATTCATGTAAGTTGTTTTTTAGAAATATTGTTAAAATATGCTATTCTTGTACATAACTGTTTATAAGTATAAATCTTAGTGGGTTTACTAATATATTTTTGATAATTATATGTATGTTGTTTATTTACTGGTTAATAAATTATATGAAAAATAAACTATAGATTGGCTAAATAAACATTAATTATTATCACCTTGCATTAATAAATGTAACTTAAAATAAAAATATGCTGAATTAACCTTTTCACGACAAACATATGGTTAAATACGATGATGCAAATTCATTACTTAATATGATTATAAAATCGGTGACTGTCTCGCAATTTATTAAACTGTTATTATAAATGTATTTCTCACTAATCTATTAATATACAAAAACCCAAATGACTTTCTTATAATTGTAAAATTTAAATTACTATTTTATAAATGACATCTCTAAATTATTTTGCCCAAATTGATTATGTTTGGAAAATTTAATAATAAAATATTAGTCAAAAATGTTATGTAATATTTACACTATTAAATTGCATTGAATATTTATAAATAAATAACAATCATAAACAATAATTTGTAAAACAATTTAGCTACACAATACAAAAACATTTTACAAATGATAATCATGTCTATTGTATATTAAATGATCTCGATTTTATATACAATGTGTCTAATTTACAGTAGACATCATTAAAAATGTATTTTTACAAACAAACTTGTTAGAATTTTAACTGACTTAGTATCAAGGTTAATAAATAAATTTAGCAAAGTTTTGCCACTTTAAATAATCAATCAATTATAGTGAAATTGTTAATTTAAAAGTTTTATTTTTAAATATAAAGTAAATATCTAAACCACTTGCGATTGTTGCTAAAAGCAATAATTATTTCCTATCTTAATGTTTTTCAAGAACACCTTTAGATTCATTATTAATAAATTAACTGTTCATTAATGCACATTCAAATACCTTCACTAAATATATTCATAAATTATCTATATACTTAACTCTCAAATGTCAAACTGTCTTATTTAAAAAATAGGTTTAAATCTCAAATTATTTTGTAAAAATACTGTATTAATTCTTTTTGTGAATGATTTTAAAAATAAATTACATAATCATAAAATTGGTGTAAATAATACATAAATCTAGTATTTATTATAACATTTAAATGCCGAATAAATAATGCATATAGTTAAACAATATATTAATAAATAACCATAATGCTCACAGTCATACACCACCCTCTGTCCCCTATTAAGTAGTGTATAAATTCTTATAACAATTCATAAAGACATGCAACACAACTGTCCCATTAATGTCAACACAAAAAGGCATTTCAACAAACAATACATATTAAATAATTACATTTCTCTCGCATCTGAAATATTATTAGTTTCTTAATAACTATAATAAAATACAAAATAAATTTCAATGAAGTAAAAAATAAAACGCTTTCCGAATATAACAGTTATTTCACAATAATTATTGAAAACATCACATATTTTCTAACAATTGATGACAACAAACAGAGGGACAACACAAACAAAGAGGAAATTCAAAATTAATCTTTAAATATGAATTCAAATTGTGTTCTCCTTATTATGTGTTTATAATATTTATGACTTATTTATCGATAAAAACAAATACAAATGCTTTAAGCTGTCGTCGCTTTTTTTGTGCGCCAAATCTCTCACTACTTATATAAATATCAAATAAGTTTTTAATTCTCTGATATTTAAATAAATTCCACTAATTTTTTTCTCTCACAAAACTGTTGAAAAGTAAAAGTTTCACCATAAAATTCACTACTTTATGATTACAGCTTAAATTGGAAAAACCGTGTTATAAACTATATTATAAACTGGGCTATTTGCCCATTCGTATATAATTTAAGATTTATAATTATCAAACTCAATAATCAGTCGACATATTCTACATTAAATAATTTGCTTTAATTAAAAAGATCTATCTGGAATAGCAATTTAAATTTGGTTTATTGATTATATTATCAATTTTGCTTTCAGTTATATTTATTATTGATATAAATCTGTGAGAATATGTCCGCCGATAAAGATATAGTAATCACGGGAATGAGTGGTCGGTTCCCGATGTCCGACAATATCGATGAGTTTGCGAAGAATCTGTTCGATGGCATAGATATGGTTTCAGAAGACGATAGCCGCTGGCCATTAGGTTTGTGCGAATTAAATACTACTTCTGATCTACAATTCTTAATATTATTTTTACAATATATTTACTATTCAATGAATAAAATAAAAATAAAATAAATTTAGATAATCTGTAATAGTATTTAAAATTAAAAGTTAAAAAACATAACAATTATTACTTAAGTTAAATTAATTAAGCACTAAATTTAATTATTATTGATGCTTAAAATAGATTTATACGGCATTTGTCCGCGAATGGGAAAAGTGCGAAATGTGGACAAATTTGATGGATTTTTCTTTGGTCTTATGCAACAACTGGTGGATGAGATCGACCCCCAGTCTCGCATACTATTGGAAACTACTTACGAGGCTATCGTTGACTCCGGTATATAATTGTTTAGTTCAAAATCTTTGTCAGAGAAGAGAGAGAGAGAGAGAGAGAGAGAGAGAGAGAGAGAGAGAGA